ACAGAGAGAAGCAGGCTCTCTGCTTGAGCATCGTTTCCTTCTACAAACTTAACTTCCCTTACCAAATTTCTCATTCATATTGATTATATGGATCTTAATTTTTAGAATCTCCTGAGTCTTAGAGTTAACCTCAGTTATTCTTTCCCCATCGTCCTCCACTTTTCTTTCTTTTTTTTTAAGATTTATTTATTTATTAGAGAGAGAGAGGGAGAGAGAGAATCTTCAAGCAGGCTCCTCCCTGAACACAGATCCCATCACACTCTATCTCATGACCCATGAGATCATGACCTGAGCCAAAATCAAGAGTTGGACGCTTAACCTACTGAGCCGCCATCCAGGCACCCCTCATCCTTCACTTCACAAAGTTCTGTCAGTTCTTCATTTAAAATATATTTCAGATGATGTTTTACATAAGATTTGTGTTGAAAGGAAGTGTTTTGCTGTAAAGTCTGTAAATACTGGTATAATGGAAAGAGTAACTGGCTTTGGAGTTCAATCTCAGTTTACATCATAGCTTTGCTACTTTGGACAAATTAACTTTTCAGTGCATTAGTTTATTCTTTGAATTAAGGTAATAAAATCTTCATAGGATTGTTGTGGATTAAGGATAACATGCAAATTGAATGACAATTAGTTCAATATATTAAAATTTTTTTTCTAACTTTCCTAAAGAGCAGAGATTGGCAAATACTCAATTTTTTATCTTCTCAAGTAACTCCCCAACTTATAGAGGTGTTATAATTCAAACTGTGTATTTCTGACTTTTTATTGGTATTCCAGTTAAACATTTAATAATATTCTTTGGTCACTTTTGTACTTACCATCACCTATATAAACTGCTTATTTCTTTTTTTTTTTTTTTAAAGATTTTATTTATTTATTTGAGACAGAGAGAATGAGAGAGAGAGAACACATGAGAGGGGGGAGGGTCAGAGGGAGAAGCAGGCACCCTGCCGAGCAGGGAGCCCAATGCGGGACTCGATCCAGGGACTCCAGGATCATGACCTGAGCCGAAGGCAGTCGCTTAACCAACTGAGCCACCCAGGCGCCCTAAACTGCTTATTTCTTAGTTATTACTGGGCCTCCTGCATTTCTCTACTCCCCTCAGAATATCAAAATCATAGGTATCAAAATCATGGCATATCATTTTTGGGATTTTTGCATTCTTGTTTAAGATTTTATTAATACTGTACATGGAAGATTTGTTTTTATTTTTTTTAATTTAATTTTAATTTTTTTAAATTAAAACAAATTTTTGATCTTGCTTGCGTCTATTCTCAAATACACTTCACTCTTCAGATGAGTAAGAATTACAGAATAATTTGGCTGAATTAATGAGGTTTTACTGTATAGTTGAATATTTGGAGTTGGAGTAGCTATTTCCTTTTGTTAACTTAAATATTATTGCTGTGCTTACATTATTAACTTGCTCAGGAAATCCAGTTAATTCAGTAAAATGTTAGTTCTAGGAGAGGACATAATTTATTTTCCTAGACTCTATTTGGACTCTTAATTTGGAGCTATGTATTACTATATGCTGAGAAGCTTTGCTCATGTTTTAGGAAGAATATTTAAACTGCTTAAGAGAGTACCTTTCAACTACCTTTATATACATTAAAGTACTCATGTACTTAAGAACAATATGTTATAGATTATTACTAAAAGAAGACCACCTAAGAACCTAGGTCATACTTCATTTGAGTTTTTTCATTGTAAAATTTAAAATTTAGAGATTCAGACAAAATACCATACTTGTTAATTCTATATTCTTAGCTAGTTATTCCCTAACTTGTTTTTTCTTTTATAAAATCTAAAGAGACAAAGGAGTGAAAGTCATTGGATCATTAACAAAACCTTTGGCACTTGTTTTTGAGGTGATGGTGGTAGAGGAAAGCAAAAAGAGAATCAAGCTTTCAGGAAGATCATTTTGTGGTTTAAAAAAAAAAGATCTGTTGACAGCTTCACAGTATTAGTGAGAAGTAGGCGTTCCTTCTCAATTCTGTTTATTTGTCCTTAGTTTTAATGACTATCCGGAATATGTTATTGGCTAGGATTCAGGAAATGAGTATTTCACTGAGTCTGCTTGTGAATAAGTCAGTTAAAATATTTGTATACTGTTGTCCCACTTCTTAATCAGTATAGAGGTGTCATTTTCTTTTTCAAATGTTTGAAACAACACATGGTAGGCAGTTGTTGTTATTTGGAAATTTCAAGGCTAAGCCCTGAAATCATGTTTGTAGAAATCTAGAATTATAGTATGTTTTTCCCAAGTACGTATACTTGTTAGTGCCTTTGTTTCTTATTTTGACAGAAACGCCACAATTGACAATTCTGCTAATTCTTATTTTGACAGTTTTATAAGAGGATTGCTACTTTAACCAAAGCAGAGGATAAGCTATCTGTTTGTGGAATTTTCTGCTGAATATTATTCTGACTGAACCTGTCTGGAATAAAAGAATATATAGGTCTTATTTAAGAAACATTTTTAGGTGTAAGTGGGACTTTTAGATTGTTCTGACAATTATTCAGAATATAAACATTCACAGTGAATATAAACTACTGGTTTAAATATCAGACTTTTAATAGTGCTACTGAAATAGCTTGATAAAATAGTCTATAGTGATAAAATATTCTATAGTAAACAGTTAAAATAATCTAAAGCAGGAATCAACAAACTTTTCCCATAAGGATCAGAGAGTAAGTAAATATTTTAGGTTTTGTGGGCTCTTTGATCTCTCGTAAAGATTCAACTCTATTATTGTTGTGCAGAAACAGCCAAAACTATACATAAACAATGAGAGTGTTGCAATAAATTTAGAAAAACAGTCAGGAGACCATAATTTGCCAATGAATTTCAGTTTAAAAATATACCATATAGGGGAACTCTCTACTTTCTGCTCAGTTTTCTGTAAACCTAAAGCTGCTTAAAAAAAAAAAAAAAATCTATTAAAATTTTTTGAGAAATATGACACAGGAAAAAAAATGATTTAGAATCAAGTAATGATCAAAACCTCCATGGCATCTCTTAGTTTTCACTGAGTGATAAATCCCCTGGATGACAAAATTGTAAGCATTAATTGTCATGTATGCTCTCAGAGGGTACCAAACTGTTCTGTTTTACAGAGATCTGTTTTGGAACTTATTTTATTCATTGATTAAAACAAACAAAATATTGTGACATGCTATTACCACATTTGCTAACATAAACACCCAGAGCACCTTCTTCAACACTTGGAGGAATTGTTGGAAAATTGATGATTTAAATGATTTCCTTGGTTGAACAGAAAATAATTCCCAAAAAATAACTCCTGGAGAATTTTAAATTACATTACTGTTCTCCTGTCATTGATACTTAATTACTTCGAGTTTCCATCCTACAGTATGTATTTTTCTTCTCTCCTATGAATATACCACAGAGTATGCTTTTGAATAAGTCAGTTAAAATATTTATAACCATTGGCTGTAATATCTGTGTGTAACTCATCTGACAATTCAATTGAAACGTTAATGTAGACTAATGTGTTGCAGCTGAATTAACTTTAGAAACTTAAATATGATTGTAACGTATGTATCTACTTTTAACCTTTTTATTGTAAACTATAACACATAGAATACATAAACAGAGATGTATAGTTTAACAAGTTACTGTAAAGAAAAAAATGTCAGTGGAACTACCATGCAAGTCCAGAAATAGAGCATTACCAGTGTCCCAAAGGCTCTTATTTTTTTTAAAGATTTATTTATTTATTTGAGAGAGTGAGTGAGCGAGCCCAGTGGGGGGGTAGAGAGGGAGAGAGAATCTCAGGCTGAGCACAGAGCCTGACGCAGGGTTTGATCCCACGACCCTGAGATGATAACCTTAGCTGAAACTAAGAGTTAGACACTCAACCAACTGTGCCCCCCGGGCGCCCCCGGAAGGCTCTTATATGCCTTTTTCCAACTATAACTCCTTCCCTTACCCCTAGGGCCAACCATATTCTGATTTTTATAGTATCCATTTCCTTACTTTTCATTATAATTTTATCACCATGTGTGCAGCAGTAAACAATATAGTTTAATCTTGCCTGCTTTTTTTTTTTTTTTAAAGATTTTATTTATTTATTTGAGAGAGAGAGAATGAGAGAGAACACATGAGAGGGGATAGGGTCAGAGGGCAAAGCAGACTCCCTGCCAAGCAGGGAGCCCGATGCGGGACTCGATCCAGGGACTCCAGGATCATGACCTGAGCCGAAGGCAGTCACTCAACCAACTGAGCCACCCAGGCGCCCTAATTTTGCCTGCTTTTAAACTTTGCAAGTGGAATCATACAGTGTGAATTCTTCAGTATATGACTGATACTTTTTTTTTTTAAGATTTTATTTATTTATTTGAGAGAGAGAGTGACAGCATGAGCAGGGGTAGGGGCAAAGGGAGAGGGAGAAGCAGATCCCCCACTAAGCAGGGAGCCCAACGTGGGGCTCGATCCCAGGATTCTGGGATTATGACCTGAGCCAAGGGCAGATGCTTAACTGAGCTACCCAGGCACCCCTGACTAATACTTTAATACTGTATTCATTATAGTCATTCAATAAAAATGGCCAAGGTAAACTGAAGTAATGGGATATTGAGCTATATTCAAACTTGTCTTCAGTAAAACTGCTCCGTCGGTGACCTGTCACATGTTTGGTGCCTCTTCCTGCCCTTCAACTGCTCTAACATGTAGGACATTGTTGGAAGTGCCTAGTGACAATTGTAGTCGGTGGTGAAAGGGGTAGCACTTGGTTTTGAAAACAGATTTCTCAATGTCTCTGTGAGATCTTATATCACCCTGTAAACTTTATGGTGATAAGATTGACTTTGCCATATTTTATAAAGATTAGTTATAAAGAATTTAATAACAAACATTAATGTATACATATAGTAGATACATATGTACACATACATACTTATGTTTCTGACTGAAGAAACACTTTAATTACCTAAAACGTTTGATTTTATAGAAAAAATACTTTGTTTTTCAGGTGAAACTTCCACCGATGATGGAAATCATAACTGCTGAACAGCTGATGGAATATTTAGGTTAGTGTTGAAAAATGGATGATTTTATATCTCTTTCAAAATAAAGTCTCCAAAGCAATATATTACCAAATTGCATCTTTCTGAAGTGCTATTATATAATCTACTTTAAAATTATAATTTTGAATCTCTTAATTAAAAATTTGTATCAGTATGTTACTGTTCTTGGGTGTTAAACCTTTTTGAAGGCTTTTTCTAACCAGCGTTAAAATTCTATAATATAAATAAGGAGACTGATAACTTCCAGAAAAGAACAAGTTACGTACTAATTCCTAATAAATTGCAGAATGGGAAATGGTACAGAAATTCTGACATTGCATGTAGAAAGTGTTTAAAAAAAAAATATTGAGTAGACTGGATTAAAGACCCAGGAGATGATTTAGAGCACCAGTATCCAAAGTATGATTCATGGACTTATACCAGTCTATGAAGTGTTAGTTACCAATCTGCAGTGATATAGGGGCTTGTGCCAAAATGTAAAACATTTACATAAGCACACTGTTTGGTTCATCTGAAATTTTTCATAGCAAAATTTTCTTGACGAAGGATGCAGTGTCTTAAGTTGCATTCTTATGCAAGCTTCTTATTTCAAAACAGACTAGTAATACACAGTTTGCAGACCAGCTGCTTTCAGTAGAACTTGTTTACAGAACAGATAGCAGTATATCACACTGAGGTCTTTTACAATTTAACAAATAGGAATTTATATATTTATACTGTTACCAAATAGGAAATCTTAATCCACATTTTTAGTTTTTTTAGTAATTAAATGTTTATTTTAAGAAAAATAACAATTTTTTTTTTGGTCAGCTGGTTAGTTTGTCTACGCCATTCCAGACTACAAGCTAACTGATTTTTAATGAAATATAGGCTTAGTGAAGTAATGGAGACTGTAACTTTTGGAAGACGCTTTTCTTTATGTAATTACTATCATTTAATCCTATTCACTGGCTAGGGAAATTTCATAGTTAAGGGTAGATTACTTTGAATACCCATGTATCTGGAAATAGAATTTCTGTTTATACCTCTTTTAGTCTAGCTTAGTGATTCTTAAACTTTGTGATTTCTAAATTATGTTTCATAAATGGGAACATAATTGGGAATTATGTTTCATGGGGAAGGCTGAAATATGCTTGGTGCTTTTGATGAATAGCCAGTATGACTTCCAAGAAGTGTACAAAGGAGATGACATTTGAGAGGTAATGGGGTCAGGTCATATCGGGCCCTATAGGCTATTATAGCCTGATGTTTGCTGTGAGTGAGCTTGGAAGCCATTAGAGGATTTGAACAGAGGACTGATGTGATCTGACTTTGAGTGTAACAAGAATTCTCTGGCTGAAACTAGAATTTAGGAAGGAAAGGACAAGCAGGGATATCAGGAAGCTATTACAACAGAAGATGCTATTACAACCGGCAAAAGATAGTGGTGGCTTCAAACAAGGTAGTAGAAGTGGAGATTGTAAAATGTGGTCAGATTCTGGATATAGAGCTGACAGAATTTGCTGATCAGTTGAATGTAGAGTGAGAGTGGTTCACCCCATGGTTTTTGGCTTGCACAACTGGAAGGATGGCATTAACATCAGCTGAAACAGGGGAAAAAAATGGAAGGAACATGTTTAGGGAGGAATAACAGGATTTTGGTTTTGGAATGCTTATTGACATCCAAGTAGAAATTTCAGGATGGCTGTTGGATATATAAATCTAGAGTTCAGAGGAGAGGTCTAGATCAGTGCTGTACAATAGAAATTTCTGTGATGATAGAAATGTTCGATATCGGGGCGCCTGGGTGGCTCAGTTGGTTAAGCGACTGCCTTCGGTTCAGGTCATGATCCTGGAGTCCCTGGATCGAGTCCCGCATCGGGCTCCCTGCTCAGCAAGGAACCTGCTTCTCCCTCTGACCCTCCCCCCTCTCATGTGCTCTCTCTCTCGTTCTCTCTGTCTCAAATAAATTAAAAAAAAAAAAATCTTTAAAAAAAGAAATGTTCAATATCTCTGCTATCTAGTTTGGTAGCTACTAGCAACATGTGGCTCTTGAGCTCTTAACATATAGCTAATGTGCCTGGGGACCTGAATATTAAATTGTTTTAATTAATTAAAATTAGATAGCCATATGTTGCTACTGGCTAACGTATTGGGCAATGCAGATCTAGCCTAGAAATAAACATTTGGGAGCAGACAACATATATAAATGGTAGACTGAGTGAAATCACAATGAGAATGAATGTAGGTAGAGAAGGGGAAAGATCAATGGACTGAATGTGAGACATGCCAATGATTAGAAGTTGTGGAAGAAAGAAGAACAGGTATCTTCAAGCCAGGTAGAAGAAAAACAGGAGACTGATTTCGTAGAATCCAAATGAAGTTTCAATGAAAAGTAAGAGATTAACTGAACCAAATGCTGCTAATAGGTCAAGCAGTGTGAAGACTAAAAATTGACTATTGATTGAACCATAGGAGGTCACTGGTAACCTCACCATTGCATGGGAGGAAACCAGACAGGGTGGGTACAAGAGAAAATTGGAAACCTTTATACATAGCCAATAGCAATGTAACATAACACAGCCACTTTGGAAAATAGTTTGTCAGTTCCTTAAAAAGTTAAACTTAGTATGACCCATAATTTTACCCAAGGGAATTTGTAAAAACACACATCTATACAGAAACTTTTTTATTCTTAATAACCAAAAAAATGGAAACAACTCAAATGTCCATCCACTGATGAGTGGATAAACAAAATGTGATATATCCATACAGTGAAATATTGACCACAAAAAGGAATGTACTGATACACACTTTAATGTGGCTAAAACTTAGACATTATGCTAAGTTAAAGAAGTCAAGTTACAAAAGACCATATATTTTATGATCCCATTTATAGAGACAGAAAGTAGAATAGTGGTTGCTTGGGACTGGTGAAGAGGATAAGGGGTCAAATAGGGATTGATTGCTAATGGGTACAGAATTTCTTTTGGGGGGACAAAAATGTTCTAAAATTAAATCATGATGATTTCATAATCCTGTTAATATACTTGCAAAATATTGAATTGTATACTTTAAATGGGTTTATTGTATGATATGTGAATTACATCTCAAAGCTATTTAAAAAAAGAAAACTGGAGGAAAGAAATTGAAAAGAGTACTTTTGACAAATAGAATTAGTCTTAGTATAGATAGCTCATCGGTAGCAATAAGAGGTGAGACAGAATGTATTAAAAATAGATGCAGGTGGGTGGGTAGATGTGGTTGTGGTAGCTTGTGGAAGGTCTTTTGAGTACTTTTATTTTCTCAGTGAAATAGGGAACCAGATCATTAGCTGAGAGTGAGAATGAAGAAAGAGTTGTTGGATGTGAGAGGGAAGGTATGAAATAGTTGCCTATAGAAGAATAGGAGAGTGAATGGGAGATGTGATATGTTCCTGGGCATTACCTCTGAAGTTAGTGAGAGCAGCGAGCATGGTGGTATGATTTCTCTACTCACATTTAGCTGCATGAGTATAGGCCTACATAGTGGGGGGGCAGGATTTAACCCGAGTTGGGTTTTTGCCAAGTCAGTAAGTTGAAGAAAGAGTCTAGAGAATTGAAGATGTGTGTCAAGAGTGATTATAATGATGGGCCAAGGATTTGAGTTGCATAAAGAGGAAACGAAGATATAAATGTGCTGAAAAAAAAAATGTGATGGAGTTAAAGGATTGTAGGGGTTCTGATGGAACTTTAGAATTTTTGGAGCCTGGTAATGACATAGCTGTATGACCATGGGGAATGAGCTTCTAAGGTAAGATAGAATATAAGATTCTTGTTGAAGAAGAGGTCAAGAAAGAGAAAGACTAGGTTATTGGATGGATTATCTCTATTAATATTGGAATTACCAAAAAATTATGTTAGGATTTGTGTTCGGGAGAGATAGTAAGCTAGGAATGAGAAGGATTGACCTGGAAGTTAATAGAGGACTGCAACCAGGTGGGTGGATGATGGGTAGTATTATTCGATGGCATGAGTTTTAAAACTGAGGAGTTTTAGGGAGGAAGGGGAGAGAGAATGACAACATGACAACAAGGAGCAAGTAGATATCTGCTCCACCTCCAGGCTCACTGGTAAAGAAGCATGAGAGAGAACTGTCACTTGAGAAGGCTGCAGTGTCATTAGGCAGAGCCAAATTTCATTTAGGCATGAAGGTGAAGGGAACATTAAGAGAAGAAAATACCTGGAAGATTTTGCTCAGGAGGGTCCATGAGTTCCAGCGGACACTGAAATTCAAGATAAGAATTTAGGAGTCATCAGTATAAAAATGGCATTTAAATCTGTGGAAATTAATGAGAACATTAAGAGAGACAGCATAAAGAGAGATGAGAAGAGGGTCAGGATTGTCCCCTGAAGTTTCCCAGCATGGAGAGTTGGGTTAGAGCAATGTTTCTCAATCTTTTTAATTATTGCCCCCTAAGGAGCCTTTGTAGACATTTTATCCTAATCACCCACTCCAGGAAATTTTAATACCGCAGACATACTATATGTTTCTTCATGTACTGTGCCCTTTGAAGGCCACAAACCATTATACTAGCTAAAATATTTTTGGCCACTCCCCCAGGGAATCAGTTTTTGTCCTCCTGGGGCAAGATAGCCCCTGCTGAAATGCATGGGGTAGAGGACAGAGAAGTAAGAGAAGAAGTAACCAGTAAGATAGGAGAAGAGCCAACAGAGGGTGGTATAGTGAAACCAAGAGGAGTGTTAGAAGGAAGGAGATGGGGTATAGAATACTGGAGAGTACTCTCCAAGTGATTTGGCAACGTGGAGGCTATTGTGATCTTTACAGAAACAATGTCAGTACAGTGATGGGCTGGAAATGAAGTGATGAGTTGAAGAGCATTTAAGAGGTGAGTAAGTGGAGACCTCAAGTGCAGATAACTTTTGAGAAATTTGGCAGCAATGGGTATGAGAAGTGGGTGAGAAGTAGGAAAAGGTTTAATAGAGAAGGTATGACTTGTATTGGGTTTTAAGTATAGTTAAATC